TAAACACTTTTGGTACTAGTGCATATAAGCTTGCTAATATGGATAATTTTTTCATTCCTGATGATGACATAATTAATGTCGAAATATTGAATCCCAACACGATGGCGTGTATTTCAATACTTGGAGTGTGTATTATACTTTCATACCTCATACATAGGTAGATTCTAGGCATCTGATTGGTTAAGAAGCAGGCAATAGAAAGTATTGTTATACCCTAAAAGAGTACTTTTTTGCCCTGTCACGCGATGTGCAATCTCATGGCTCCACTTATGAAGTCACTGACTGTAAAGGGGACTGTGACCTATACAACAAGAGAGGTTGACCCTTGACCATGGCACGGATCAGCGAGTAGACGATAAACAGACATGGAGGCTGGTCGGTTCGAAAAGGACTAGGCCTAGCATTCTTGATGAAGCTGATAGCAGACGTACCAAAAGACAAATTAAACGTCTTGTCAATATTCAACAAATATTGCAAGACGATGGGTTCTGTTGAAATTAAGGAAATGAGCAAGAGCCAGACACACTCTTTGATCGCCTAGAATAGTAGGCCTAAGAAGTAAGCCTAGGCATACTTGGTTGGTACTTTTCATTACTTTTTTTAGGCCTCGTAGCATTTATGTATGAGGTATACAAATATTGATTGCTCTATTTTTGGGAAACGGTGAAATCTATAGCTCCTTGGTGATGTGGAGATGTAACCTACTATCTTCCCTCAGGCCTTCACCTCCACATCACCTCTGGGCAATAGATTTCACTATTCCCCTCATGTGCAGTCAATATTTGTATAACATGTTTTAAGGTGGTAATCATAATAACATGACATTTTATGTAGCACAAGATAGTATAAGACATACTTCAAGTATCGAAATGCATGCCATCGTGTCGGGATTCAATATTTTGACATTAATTATGTCATCATCAGGAATGATGTAGCGGACTTTATCTGATCCATGGCACTGAAGATACAGTACTTCACTATATCTGTACAAAACATTTGCAAGATGAAGGAAATTTCACAAAGAGAATTTTATTAGTTGTATTGCTTGTCTGAATCTCAATGAGATCTGATTGTCATAAAATTAGTAATTTAATGAACTGATAATCTTGTATATTTCAGTAAAACACCAAAAATTCGAACACCTTCTGAAACAGAGCAAAGAGAAATGGTGAGCAGTAGATATTAGTATACCGTAAAACCTTGAATTGAAGCCCCCCCCCCTCTTTTTAGTTTGCAGTATAAGCCTCGATTTCAAGATAGCAGTGGCTTCTTTTCAAGATATTACTGTCACATACACTGTACATGAATTTCAGAAAATAAATTAAATACAAGCTTGGTTTATACAGTAATTTTAGTGATTTAATGCCAGGTAAATACGCTCCATATTAGTGATTGATGTTACAGTGGCCTTATTCATTGTTTTACAGTACAAATTCACAAAAATTACAGCATTCATTTTGAAAAGAAGCTGCCCCCCCCCCCTCTTTACTTTGCAAAGTAGTCTCGAAAAGAAGTCCATTTTGAAAAGAGCCCATCTCGAAAAGAAGCCCATCCAAAGTTTTAAAAGAAAAGAAGCAGCCCAGGGCTTCAATTCAATTCAATTACGGTAGACTAACTAGATTAAACATATTTTACGGTAGACTAACTAGATTAAACATATTTTACGGTAGACTAACTAGATTAAACATAATTTACGGTAGACTAATTAGATTAAACATAATTTACGGTAGACTAACTAGATTAAACATATTTTTTTGGTAGACTAACTAGATTAAACATATTTTACGGTAGACTAACTAGATTAAACAGGCCCGTAGCCAGGTTCTTCCAAGGGGGGTTTTCTGGGCGTGAGGTCCACAGTCGAAGCCCCGGTCGGGTCGGCAAAACCCCCAAAGCAAGAGGATTTTTGTGCTTTATGGGTGTAAATAGTGCTATAAAAGCAGATATGTTTGAAAATGTATGTGTCTGGGTGGGTCTGCATGCATTAGTTGGGGTTGGAGGACTTATTTGGGAAATTTAAAGAGGAGGTTTTGCCCGAAAAAAGGGGATACATGCCTGTTAAACATATTTTACAGTAGACTATGGATTAAACATATTTTACGGTAGACTAACTAGATTAAACATATTTTCTACTCATAATAATTTTCAACAGAATATAAACAAGAAACTTTTTAAAATGTTAATCATAACCATTATGTTGTTATAGACAATATAGACAAACAGTCCGGAAGAGGTAAAAATGTTTATTTTTTACAAACTCATAACATTAGTTGGATATATATGGAAAGGTGTTTATTTAATCAACAACCATAGTAAGCCTATCATACACAGAATACAGTTTAACATCATTGCTATGCCAAAAAACTTGGTAACCCGAAATTTATCATTTTTATACGTTCAGATGACGTGATGAATATAAAACCCTCTGCCTCAACGGCGGGGGGGGGGGGGGGGGATTAGCCCACCTATTTTTTATACTTGGGAGTCTCCCCCCACTTTTCTGACTGTAAATAGGTGAAAACTAATTTTTTTTTTATCTGTTTCACATTGGAGGCTAATAATTTATTTGAACCTTTAAATGAGCTATTCAAACTTTATTTTTAGGTATTTTTCCTGTCTTTCTGACTGATAGTACATCTTTAATTTTATAATTTTTAATAATTATAATTTATGGTACATGTATTATTATTATTGTTATTATTATTATTAATTTATTATTATTTGGTGCTTAGACACCTTGTTTATTTGCATCTTATAAATTGACTTTAATTATTATCATTATAAAATATAGATTTTTTTCATTTTCTAACGAGCATTACAAGTTCCCTTTTTGAGTTGAGCAAGGAAATGTTGATTGACATCTGTATACGCGCGTCTCTAAAGTTTCCTTGAAACCCGCCCTAAAGCATGAAGAAAAAATTGCCTGCCTTCGTGAATTCTGTATTCAGGCATATGGAGGGGAGGTAGGCACTCTTAATGGAGTGACGCTCTAGTTTTCTTTATGCTAACCGCCATATGTATAGCAAGTGTAACTGATGGGCTTACAGTAAACCTTCAAACTAGGAGAATACAACCACATTTAAACTCCATCTAATTTAACGAAAACAATCAGATAATTAATTAGGCCATTTTTTAAAATAAAGTTCTCTGAAGGTTAACTACAGAATTTACAGACCGTGTAGTTAATGTGTTATAGGTTGCAAAAAACTGTATTGAGTAAAAAAAATCTTTCAAATAAAAATGTCTTTCACTTGACATTAGGAATTAATCATTTGTGATACAAAATGATAGGCTATGTCAAGTGTTACATTGAACAGTGGCAGATTCCAGGGAGATCACTGTCAGCACGGGCTCCCAACATCCTAATTTTTTCAGAATTATTTTTAAAAAATGAAGAAAACAGACAAAATTGTATTCAACTTTTAATCTGAGAGTGCCATTTCCAGCCATCTGGAGGTGCCATAATCATGATTATCATGGTGGGGCTGAGGTGGTATAGATCCTCCATCTGCTAAAGCCCAGGGAGGGTATTTTCACAGATGGAAGACCTATACTACCACCGTGGTTTTCGCCTGAGGTAAGAAAATTTGGGATTATGGCACCTTATGGCCGGAAATTGAACTTCCAGACATAAAATTTGGATATAATTATCTTTACATCTCCAATTTTTTTTTACAATTTAGGGGAGGGGGAGGGTGGGCCGGCTGGGTCCCCTTCAATTTGCCACTGGATAATATGGCACCTCTAGCTAGATGGCCGGAAATGACATTCTTGCGCTTTAAATTTGAATAATTATCTTTTTTTGCCATTTTCAAAGCTTTGGGTGTATTGACATGGTTAGGGCAGGATTTGGAACTGGTCTAGTGAGTTGTCTATGTCTATAAAAGCTTCTTCAAACCAGTACCGTAGTTCCACCCCCTACTTGCATCCAATTTCATATATCAGCAATTGCCTTAGCAAAAGCCCATGTTATGATTTAAGCCCATCACGAAAATCATTTTCATATTTGGGAGTGCAGCGTTGCTACAGTAGTAAAAGCTTTACTCCTGGTATTGGCACTAGTTCTGTGTAGTTTGATCAATCAGAACAGGGCTAACTTGCTGCAAAAACACAAGGTTTCTCCCAGAAATGCATATGTTATGTGTTTACATATTCGTAATGGAATAAAATTAGGTATTCTAGTGTTTTTTTTAATACACTACTATAATTCTTTCATTTATTCAGAGGATTTTTATTTAAATGAATATTTTTCTACAATTGGAGACTGTATGGCTAATAATGCCATCTCATGTGAATTCTAATTGGACAACAATGTCCAACATTTCCCCACCTTAAAGTACTCCTACAACATGTAGCTTTCTAATGTAGGCATGATAATACTGAGACCAGTATGTGTTGATATCAATTAATAAAGTGATGTACAGTATAATACAGTATGTTTATGTGTGGGGTAGGATAAAAGAAATAAAATGGACGTTTCTATGCTTACACTGTATGTTAATACCTTACTTTTCAGAAAGAAAAACCCAGCAAAAACCAAGAATCAAAAGTTAAAAAAAATGTGGCAGACTCATCAAATGTAGGTTGTTCATGCTCCCTGAATGTCGTACCATGCTTTCAAATGTTTTCTAGGGAGAGTTAGGGAAGGAGGTATAGGACCCACAAATGTAAAATTCCACCACAATTAAAAAACATTGTTACCGTTGGGCCCCCTTTAATCTGCCACTGCATGCTTACAGTATGTTAAATTCCTTACTTTTCAGGATGAAAACCCAGCAAAAGAAAAGTATCAGACTCATCAAATGTAGATTATTCACACAGGTCATGTGATAGTAATAATAATAAATTTTAAAAATGTAATAAGAAGTAGAAAATAAATAAAGTGAAAAAAGAATAAAATACCACACAGCCTGATACTCGGATACAAAACTCAGTGAGCTGGAGGGGCAGAGCCTTCAAATTGAAGTTAGCTCCTTAATAAGAAGCAGTGGCGGTGCCAGGGGGGACAGCAGGGGCTTAAGTCCCTCCCCCCACCGGACAGCTGTCTCTTATACACATCTAGATGTGTATAAGAGACAGATCATACACACGTCGAGTAGTCGGACTAAAAAAAATACAAAAAATAGGCCCCGCAAAGGCAAAACATGACTGTCACAGTCTAAGATTGTCATTTCTGGCCATCCAGAGTTTCCTATTCTTAAAAAAATCTCATTTGGGAGGGACCCCTCTCAAACCAATCCCCCAGCTCGGGCCTACGAGCTCAAGTCCCCCTTGTCAGACAGCTCAGCCCCCTCAGAAAATATATCCTAGAACCACCACTGATAAGAAGAAGTTTCATCTTTTTTTTTCAGGAAGGAACACTCTGCAGTAATGAAGCTACCAAGACTCAAGATGCTGTAACAGAACCACCGACCAAAAAAAAAGTAAATAAATATTACGTATTAAAAGTGATATAGGCTACTTCTGTTGAAAAATCTAATTTAGACTCCAACTTGTCCAAATTCTATCTATTTAAAAAATGACTTTGCTTATGTTTAAATAATGAATATTTTTTTATAAATTGGAGACTATATGACTAGTAATGCCACCAGTTGCAGATCCAGAAATTCAAAATAGAGGGGGTCCAGGGAGGGACTTGCACAGAAGTAGGGTGTGGACCAATTTAGGCCCACCATGGTTGAGGTAAGAAAATTTATGATTATGGCACCTCTAGCTAGATGGCCGGAAATGACATTCACGCACCTTAAATTTGAATAATTATCTTTTTTTGCCATTTTCAAAGCTTTGGGTGTATTGACATGTTTAGGGCAGGATTTGGAACTGGTCTAGTGAGTTGTCTATGTCTATAAAAGCTTCTTCAAGCCAGTACCGTAGTTCTACCCCCTACTTGCATCCAATTTCATGTATCAGCAATTGCCTTGGCAAAAGCCCATGGTATGATTTAAGCCCATCACGAAAATCATTTTCATATTTCGGGGTGGGGGTCTGTAGCAGCGTTGCTACAGTAGTAAAGCTTTACTCCTGGTATTGGCACTAGTTCTGTGTAGTTTTATCAATCAGAACAGGGCTAACTTGCTGCAAAAACACAACGTTTCTCCCAGAAATGCATATGTTATGTGTTTACATATTCGTAATGGAATAAAATTAGGTATTCTAGTTTTTTTTTTTAATACACTACTATAATTCTTTCATTTATTCAGAAGATTTTATGTAAATGAATTTTTTTTCTACAATTGGAGACGGTATGGCTATTAATGCCATCTCATGTGAATTCTAATTGGACAACAATGCCCAGCATTTCCCTACCTTAAAGTACTCCTACAACATGTAGCTTTCTAATGTAGTCATGATAATACTGAGATCAGTATGTGTTGATATCAATTAATAAAGTGATGTACAGTATAATACAGTATGTTTATGTGTGGGGGTGTGGGGTAGGATAAAAGAAATAAAATGGACGTTTCTATGCTTACACTGTATGTTAATTCCTTACTTTTCAGAAAGAAAAACCCAGCAAAAAACGAGAATCAAAAGTTAAAAAAAATGTGGCAGACTCATCAAATGTAGGTTGTTCATGCTCCCTGAATGTCGTACCATGCTTTCAAATGTTTTCTAGGGAGCGTTAGGGAAGGAGGTATAGGACCCACAAATGTAAAATTCCACCACAATTAAAAAACATTGTTACCTTTGGGCCCCCTTTAATCCGCCACTGCATGCTTACAGTATGTTAAATTCCTTACTTTTCAGGATGAAAAACCCAGCAAAAGAAAAGTATCAGACTCATCAAATGTAGATTATTCACACGGGTCATGTGATAGTAATAATAATAAATTTTAAAAATGTAATAAGAAGTAGAAAAAAAATAAGAATACAATACCACACAGCCTGATACTCAGATGCAAAACTCAGTGAGCTGGAGGGGCAGAGCCTTTAAATTGAAGTTAGCTCCTTAATAAGAAGCAGTGGCGGTGCCTGGGGGGACAGCAGGGGCTTAAGTCCCTTCCCCCACCGGACAGGTCAGGGGCCCCCCCATCGTACAGAGCTCGTCGGGTAGTCGGACTAAAAAAAATACAAAAAATAGGCCCACGCAAAGGCAAAACATGACTGTCACAGTCTAAGAGTACCATTTCTGGCCATCCAGAGGTTCCTATTCTTAAAAAAAATCTCATTTGAGAGGGACCCCTCTCAAACCAATCCCCCATCTTGGGCCTACGAGCTCAAGTCCCCCCTGTCAGACAGCTCAGCCCCCTCAGAAAATATATCCTAGAACCACCACTGATAAGAAGAAGAAGTTTCATCTTTTTTTTTCAGGAAGGAACACTCTGCAGTAATGAAGCTACCAAGACTCAAGATGCTGTAACAGAACCACCGACCAAAAAAAAAGTAAATAAATATTACGTATTAAAAGAGATATAGGCTACTTCTGTTGAAAAATCTAATTTAGACTCCAACTTGTCCAAATTCTATCTATTTAAAAAATGACTTTGCTTATGTTTAAATAATGAATATTTTTTTATAAATTGGAGACTATATGACTAGTATTGCCACCAGTTGCAGATTCAGAAATTCAAAATAGAGGGGGTCCAGGGAGGGACTTGCACAGAAGTGGGGTGTGGACCACTTTAGGCCCACCATCTTTGAGGTAAGAAAATTTATGATTATGGCACCTCTAGCTAGATAGCCGGAAATGACATTCTCGCACCTTAAATTTGAATAATTATCTTTTTTTTCCATTTTCAAAGCTTTGGGTGTATTGACATGGTTAGGGCAGGATTTGGAACTGGCCTAGTGAGTTGTCTATGTCTATAAAAGCTTCTTCAAACCAGTATCATAGTTCCACCCCCTACTTGCATCCAATTTCATGTATCAGCAATTGCCTTGGCAAAAGCCCATGGTATGATTTAAGCCCATCACGAAAATCATTTTCATATTTCGGGGTGGGGGTCTGTAGCAGCGTTGCTACAGTAGTAAAGCTTTACTCCTGGTATTGGCACTAGTTCTGTGTAGTTTTATCAATCAGAACAGGGCTAACTTGCTGCAAAAACACAACATTTCTCCCAGAAATGCATATGTTATGTGTTTACATATTCGTAATGGAATAAAATTAGGTATTCTAGTTTTTTTTTTTAATACACTACTATAATTCTTTCATTTATTCAGAAGATTTTATGTAAATGAATATTTTTCTACAATTGGAGACTGTATGGCTAATAATGCCATCTCATGTAAATTCTAAATGGACAACAATGTCCAACATTTCCCTACCTTAAAGTACTCCTACAACATGTAGCTTTCTAATGTAGGCATGATAATACTGAGACCAGTATGTGTTGATATCAATTAATAAAGTGATGTACAGTATAATACAGTATGTTTATGTGTGGGGTAGGATAAAAGAAATAAAATGGACGTTTCTATGTTTACACTGTATGTTAATTCCTTACTTTTCAGAAAGAAAAACGCAGCAAAAAACGAGAATCAAAAGTTAAAAAAAAAGTGGGAGACTCATCAAATGTAGGTTGTTCATGCTCCCTGAATGTCGTACCATGCTTTCAAATGTTTTCTAGGGAGCGTTAGGGAAGGAGGTATAGGACCCACAAATGTAAAATTCCACCACAATTAAAAAACATTGTTACCTTTGGGCCCCCTTTAATCCGCCACTGCATGCTTATACAGTATGTTAAATTCCTTACTTTTCAGGATGAAAAACCCAACAAAAGAAAAGTATCAGACTCATCAAATGTAGGTTATTGACACAGGTCATGTGATAGTAATAATAATAAATTTTAAAAATGTAATAACAAGCAGAAAATTAAAAAAAAAAAAGAATAGATTACCACACAGCCTGATACTCAGATGCAAAACTCAGTGAGCTGGAGGAGCAGAGCCTTCAAATTGAAGTTAGCTCCTTAATAAGAAGCAGTGGCGGCACCAGGAGCAGGAGCTTAAGGCCCCCCCCCCATCAGACAGGTCAGGCTCTCCCCCATCATAAAGAGCTCGTCGGGCAGTCGGACTAAAAAAAATATTAAAATAGGCCCACGCCAAGGCAAAACATGCCTGTCACAGTCATTTCTGGCCATCCAGAGGTTCCTATTCTTAAAAAAATCGCAGTTGGGAGGGGACCCCTCTCAAACCTTTCCCCCAGCTCGGGCCTACGAGCTTAAGTTCCCCTGTTGGACAGCTCAGCCCCCTCCCCCAGAAAATATATCCTAGAGCCACCACTGATAAGAAGAAAAAGATGAAGAAGTCATGCCCATGGTTTTTAATCCTTTATCCCTCAAGCTTTGGGTGTTTTGGGATGATTAGTGGAGGAGGATACAGAAATTGAGAGTGTGGAACTGGTCTAGATTATTTAAATACAACCTCCTGAATGCCCCATTAGAATTTGATATCAAGTGTCATCTTTTTTTTCAGGAAGAAAGACTCTGCAGTAATGAAGCTACCAAGACTCAAGATGCTGCAACAAAATCACCGACCAAAAAAAAAGTAAATAAATATTACGTATTAAAAGAGACACAGGCTACTTCTGTTGGAAAATCTAATTTAGACTCCAAACTTGTCCAAATTCTATCTATTTAAAAAAATGACTTTGCTTATGTTTAAATAATGAATATAAATTGGAGACTATGACTAGTAATGCCACCAGTTGCAGATCCAGAAATTCAAAATAGAGGGGGTCCAGGGAGGGACTTGCACAGAAGTGGGGTGTGGACCACTTTAGGCCCACCATGGTTGAGGTAAGAAAATTTATGATTATAGCTAGATGGCCGGAAATGACATTCTCGCACCTTAAATTTGAATAATTATCTTTTTTTGCCATTTTCAAAGCTTTGGGTGTATTGACATGGTTAGGGCAGGATTTGGAACTGGCCTAGTGAGTTGTCTATGTCTATAAAAGCTTCTTCAAACCAGTACCATAGTTCCACCCCCTACTTGCATCCAATTGCATGTATCAGCAATTGCCTTGGCAAAAGCCCATGGTATGATTTAGCTAAGATTGCCTTTAAATTGAGCAGAGAGTGTTTAAAATTTGCCTTTTATTTGGCCATTATATTTTAATTTTTTTTCATGAACTGGATTTCTCGTGTATAAGCCCATCACGATAATCATTTTCATACTTAGGGGTGGGGGTCTGTAGCAGCGTTGCTGCAGTTGTAAATCTTTACTCCTGGTATTGGCACTAGTTCTGTGCAGTTTTATCAATCAAAACAGGGCTAACTTGGTGCAAAAACACAAGGTTTCTCCCAGAAATGCATATGTTAATGTGTTTCGTAATAGAATGAAATTAGGTATTCTAGTGTTTTTTTTTAATACACTACCATAATTCTTTCATTTATTCAGAAGATTTTTATTTAAATGAATATTTTTCTACAATTGGAGACTGTATAGCTATTAATGCCATCTCATGTGAATTCTAATTGGACAACAATGTCCAGCATTTCCCTACCTTAAAGTACTCCTACAACATGTAGCTTTCTAGGGTAGGCATGATAATACTGAGACCAGTATGTGTTGATATCAATTAATAAAGTGATGTACAGTATAATACAGTATGTTTATGTGTGGGGTAGGATAAAAGAGATAAAATGGACGTTTCTATGCTTACACTGTATGTTAATTCCTTACTTTTCAGAAAGAAAAACCCAGCAAAAAACGAGAATCAAAAGTTAAAAAAAAAGTGAGAGACTCATCAAATGTAGGTTGTTCATGCTCCCTGAATGTCGTACCATGCTTTCAAATGTTTTCTAGGGAGCGTTAGGGAAGGAGGTATAGGACCCACAAATATAAAATTCCACCACAATTAAAAAACATTGTTACCGGTGGGGCCCCTTTAATCCGCCACTGCATGCTTATACAGTATGTTAAAATTTGCCTTTTGATTTGGCCATTATATTTTCTTTTTCATGAACTGGATTTCTTGTGTATAAGCCCATCATGAAAATCATTTTCCTATTTGGGGGTGGGGGTCTGTAGCAGCGTTGCTACTGGTATTGGCACTTGTTCTGTGTAGTTTGATCAATCAGAACAGGGCTAACTTGCTGCAAAAACACAAGGTTTCTCCCAGAAATGCGTATGTTATGTGTTCACTTATTCGTAATAGAATAAAATTAGGTATTCTAGTTTTGTTTTTTTAATACACTACTATAATTCTTTCATTTATTTAGAAGATTTTTATTTAAATGAATATTTTTCTACAATAGGAGACTGTATGGCTATTAATGCCATCTCATGTGAATTCTAATTGGACAACAATGTCCAACATTTCCCTACCTTAAAGTACTCCTACAACATGTAGCTTTCTAGGGTAGGCATGATAATACTGAGACCAGTATGTGTTTATATCAATTAATAAAGTGATCTACAGTACAGTATAATACAGTATGTTTATCTGTGGGTGTGTGGGGTAGGATAAAAGAAATAAAATGGACGTTTCTATGCTTACACTGTATGTTAATTCCTTACTTTTCAGAAAGAAAAACCCAGCAAAAAACGAGAATCAAAAGTTAAAAAGAAAGTGGGAGACTCATCAAATGTAGGTTGTTCATGCTCCCTGAATGTCGTACCATGCTTTCAAATGTTTTCTAGAGAGCGTTAGGGAAGGAGGTATAGGACCCACAAATGTAAAATTCCACCACAATTAAAAAACATTGTTACCGGTGGGGCCCCTTTAATCCGCCACTGCATGCTTACAGTATGTTAAATTCCTTACTTTTCAAGATGAAAAACCCAACAAAAGAAAAGTATCAGACTCATCAAATGTAGATTATTTACACGGGTCATGTGATAGTAATAATAATAAATTTTAAAAATTTAATAACAAGCAGAAAATTATTTTAAAAAATAATAGAACACCACACACATATGGTTACATGTGTTTATGTATTCGTAATGGCAGAATAGGATAAAATTATGTACTCTATTTTTTTTAAATAATTCTTTCATTATTCAGAAGATGTTTCAAAAAGGAGGCTCACCTTTGTATGATACAAAACAACAGAGGTAAACCTGATTTTTTTATGCTAGACTTTCTTTGTTCACATTCATTCGTACACTTAAACGTCATCTCCGTACTTAGCACATATAACTCTTGCATCCACACTCTATATCTAATGGTGACCAGCAATATTTTTGGTTCTCACAAACGATATCCAGGGGTTTGAAAGAATCCACATCTTGGAGACCTGTTTAAATGAGCTTTCTGAACACATCTAATTATATCTTGCTTTGTCTGGTGATACCCTTCGGCACTGACTTCTGGGAGACAATAGATGGGTTATTTTCTGGGAGATTCTTGCTTGTGAGAATGCAGGAGACCTTCCCAATTTCTGGGAGACTCCTGTGACTTTGGACCCCTGCATATCATTCAAGAATTCTTAGGCCTTTTTTATTAATTCAACATAATTTATGTTTTCATAATGTGGCAAAGACAAACCAAACCAGTCACTCATCGCAAATCCTGTTGTCGAGATAATGGCCAAAACATACTTGAATGTCAAAATTTTGGAAATGTATATTGCACTAAACTAACCTTTATATATTTACACATCATGCTATGCTGTTATTTTCATCATTTTCAATGCTAAAACAAAAATCTTTAACGATTTGGTGATAGTTTCTGCCTAAGGAATCCCTGAAAGGAGGAATCGTAAACTTTGTAGGCTTTGTAAACTTTGTAGGCTGATTTCTCAAATGTTTTTGACACAGGTATATGTATAAAATCCTGTAACTTCATAACGAAATGTCAGATATAAATGATTCTTTTACCATTTTATAGCTCTCATTTTAACCCTGTACAGTACTAATAACTAAAAATTGATTTTGGCGATGAGCGACTGGTTTGGCTTGTCTTTGCCACAATATATTATCAGTAGTTGCAAAATGTAAACAGTTATTTTTTCTTGCTGGACCAAGGTCTAGTTGTGCTAAAATAATTGTTAGCCCTTATATATCAGCTACTGACTATTGGTCTAGTTTTAATGTATTTTTTGCTAGCCCAACCATAAAATAGTCCTGGACCCAGGACCACCAAATTTGTACAGCCCTGTTATTCATGTATTTTTTCAGTTAATACATGCAACTGCGAGTCAGATATGTTAGCCTATACCCTGTTATGTGTTTGACATGTAAAATACCAACCATTATCAAGAAATTATTAATCCTTTTTTTAGGTCCATGGGTTGTGAGAATGAAGGTCTGCCTGAAAAATTAAGGAAAATGGATCCATCTGAGATGTTTATGCACTTTATTCAACTTTAATTTGTAGGCAGGTAATGAACGACTCCCATGATAAGGTGCCGGCTTAAAGCAAGGATTACAGTTGAAGTTTTCATTAAAGGAATTCGTCCAAGGCTTTGGCTATGTTCTCACACGGCAGCTAACGGTTAGCACGATCCGGATCCTGTTAACCGTTAGCTGCCGTGTGTCCATGCGAGAAAATCCCGATCCGGATACCAACAATATGATGATAGAATCATTGGCCAATAAGAAACTGGAAATTGTAAACGCGTACGTGTGATAGGTTGATGATAGAAACGCCCTCAACTTGTTAACAGATAGCGCTTGCTAACCGTTAGCGTATCCAGATACTGCTAACGGTTAGCGCTAACCGATCAGGTGCTAACGGTTAGCTCCCGATCCGGATACTAGGGCTCTCGTGAGAACCAGGCTTTAATGATTAAAGAATAAACTAGCGCAGTCACTCCATATACTATAGTATAGTACATACTGTACCTGCACACTGTGCCTGAATACTGAACAATATGCAGACTGTGCATGATGGGTGATTTTAAATTTCTCTGACGTTTACCTTGTCCTTTGACGTTTGTTTTTTCCAAAATGCATTTACAGGATTAAGTTATGCTTTATAAACCAAGTTTCTTTATTAGGCTAAAGGAGTAGGGTTGTTTATAGTCAAAAACCATTTTGATATATGTACTATATATATGCACCTTTTTAAATCCCACCTCAAATCTTTTTTTTTTTTTTTCCATAGCTTTTCCTTTGTAGTTTTTGCTTCACTGCTTCGATCATTGACTTAAATTTTTCTTATTTTATTCTTTTATTATTATTATTATTATTACAGTATTATTATCATCATTATTACTTTATAGTATTTTCTTATTTTGGTTTTTTTATTATTTTATTATTATTATTATCATTATTACTTTATTGTATTTTGCTCTTTATGTTGTAATTGAATTTAAAGCGCTAGTGACAACTTCCGTTTAACCGGCGCTATAGAAATTTTCAAATCTATCTATCTACCTGTCTATCTACTATAAGAAAACCTCCAGATGCCAAATGTAATTTTTTGGAGAGTGAACGTTGAGTCTGCAGACATCTGACTGTGATTTGCTGGCTTTTTGTAAATGAGTTGGCTGTAGCTAAATAGTTGATATATAAAACACTGAATTTCCATGTTTTAAAATTGTTCCAATAATTTTGAGTTATAAAAAACAGGGAAAAGGTATATTTGGATATCAGTGCCTGATTAAGTATTACAGACATGGTTGGATAATACTGTATAATAAAAAAAAAAAAACATTATTGATTTACAGAAACACTTGTTCACCTCAATGGTGTTTTTCAACAAAGTCGTAAAGGCATTGTGCAATTCAACAAAAAAACAGAAATTAATTACAAAAGGAAATCACATTACTGAAAGAAACTTAAGTCTTAAATACACTTACAATATTAACTGTAATACTTTTAATTTTTTTATTTTCATTTTAAAATTAGGAATTGTATTTGAGTATTTTAAATAATGTTTTATGAGCTGCTTTTCAACAAAGAGTTTACTGCTTTTAGAAGGAATAGGAATTCATATAGGAGCGTACAGTACTTTGCTTGCAAAACTTGTTATAATCCATCTGTATTGGCAACACACTTGTTGATTCATTTGGGTTGAGTGTTGTAATAATAATTGAAGAATTAGTTTAACTAATTCCTCCATGTAAAATTTAGTATTTACCTGTTCATGGAGTTGCTCCATGACCTGATGAAGCAAGCTCTAGTTAGTGTCTCAATAATATTTTTTAGTCAAAGAAGGTGCTACTCCTGGTGCTACTGTATATATGGCTTCAACTTTTACATTTGATAAGGTTCTTTCGGGAATTGTTTTTTATATGCTTGAATATGTATAAATGCTTCATTGAATACTCTTAATTTTTTGTTGATTAGATAAAATAGCTGCTTATCTAACTAAACAGGAAGTTCTGTTGATGGGCAAATAGTCTAGCAGTAAATTCCAACAGGGATAAATTAACAATTTTATTCCACAGCAGAAAGCCTAGCCTAGCCTCGCCTCTAGGCATACGAATAAAACCATGTGTTTAGTGTTTTTATTCATCACTTTACGATGTCATAATAAAGTGTTCAAATAAAACCATGTGTCTAGTGTATTAATTCATCACTTTATATCTTTTATTTAAGTACAATAAAGAACATGAAAATATTGTAAAATTACCTAACGACAAAGGTATAACTTGGGAATTCCCCTTCATGCCTATTCTAAACAACAGAGATGTGGTGTTGTCTGGGCCTGTTGAGACAAACCATGGACCTATTAATAGGTCCATGGTTTGCCACACGAAGCTAAGGAGGAAAGCAATAATTTTGAGCACCATCGCACAGTGGGCCAGAATCAATTCAAAGTGTGCCAAAAGTCGAAAATAGGTAATGTGACAACTTCAACTTTTAAAGGTTGTTTGAGGTCGAGAACATCCTAAATTATATTAATCCACCAATAATTTC